AACTTGTGAGGTGTCTAGGTGTTTAAACACGTCATTCAAGAATGAAAATAGCAAAGACTTCCTGTACGAGTAAAATAAAGAATGATTATAACATACGATAGTACAAAGACAGCCGATAGCTGTGTCTAAATTTGATAACAGTTTATGAACAACCGAAACTCGAACCAAGAGCGAACAATATGGAAACTGTTGCGTTTAAACAAATGCATAAAACTGTGGATAACCGTTACAGTAATTAAATTACAGTGATTATAATGATAAATACAATGATAAGTAAAATAAACGTTAAAGATATATGTGAACATTTCAGAATGTTACAGTACAACCTGAGTTACAACATAATTGTGAAAATTGTTGGGCATACAACTGCTTACTGAATATAAATAAGTAGTATAAACCAACATACAAAAGAGTAGAAAAGGAATGAGCAAGAACAATGTAAAACAAACTTAACACCGCCCCCCAAAGACAGCATGTCTTTCCTTACTTTCGCTGATTAGGTATTAACGTAAAAACATTCAGAGGTGACAATGGTACGATTGACTCTAGCCACAGTCACTCTGAAAATTCTCTCCATCCTCTACTTTCGGTCGTCAGCTCCTTCTGATAAACAAATTTTACGTATGTGTCTAATAATTGTACCTTTCCACGTTCTGATCTTCGCTTGTCTCCATAGACCATCTCCTCCTGGGTCAAAACTTACCACGAGGCATTTAGGCCAGTTATTTCGTGCATACGTGTTTCCAATAATCAAGACTGGATCGCGAACTTGTAAATCTCGTCTTCCTTGTGTCCATTTTGTTCGCGTCTGTAAGAGTGGTCTGTCATTAGGTATTCTTTCTGCTTCAGTCAAACAGGTGGTGAGTGTCTCTTAAGACATGGATACTGCGCTCAAAAGTCCACGTATGCTTCCTATTAATCTTTCCCATACTCGATGATGATTTGCGTAGGGAGTGTTGTGGTGCCATTCTATGTTCCGATGAGTCATTTCTTTAGCTACTCTACTATCCTTAAAGTCTGGTAATGGATGTTGTATCTGCTTGTCTAACCCAACTAAAGGGGACATGGATGTAGTTGTCTTAAACTTCTTATCATCATCAGCAGACTGAATAAAACAATCATCTTTCTGATTCTCTGTTTCACACTTGATGTCAATAGAACTCTCAGCAGACGCTACTAAAGGAGATACAAGTTTCGTATTTGCAGAGAACTGAGTTGTTGTTGCTTTGACACTAATTGATGACTCGTGTAGTAGTATCACAGACTTAGCATCATCGTTTACGTCAGAAACACCAGGGAGATCTGTTTCGGCAGAGAACATAACAGATGTTTTCGATGACATTAACTCGCCACTATCTGTTGGAGGAATTTTGTCTGGAGGAGAAATACATCTAAGGTCAATATTCACTAATGTATCGACATGACGATCGTTGGCAGTTTTTAGAAGGTACTCATCGTCAACAGCTGATAATGAAATAACTTGTTCTAAATCCATTGGATTCTCGTCTGTCGCTTTAGATACAGAATCAAAGGTGTCTATAAGTCGGTTACTTCTTGAATCAGGTGGAGTGTTAAATCCATAAGAACGAACTGACTGTAAACCTTGATGAACCCTGGAATCTTCAGTCTGAACAGCGGCTGCTGCTACTATGAGTGAGCGTACATCATCATCATCGACTAGGAGTGCCACATCAGGAGAGTGTTTAAGGCATAAACCAGGATCATCTTTGAACGGCAACAAACGATTTGAAGAGTTTTCAGGCGCTACTGTGTTCAAAGAAAGGGGCGGCGTGGGTCCGTCCTCGATAGAATTCTTTGCTTCTAAACAGTTTATGAAGGCTGAGGTTTTACTGACTTTACCCGCTGGCCCAAATAAAGCCCACCCTAACATGGTTAGTGAAGCGTAAGGTTGTTGGGACCTTCCGATACGTTGATCGAGAACCCAGTGGGCTTGTGGAACGTCAACTCCAATTAACAACCCTACTCTGTCGCATGTAATAGTAGGTAGCCGTACACCTTTCAAACGTTTCCACCTTTTCTGGAATTCGGTCGGTGGCATTTCTGCTTTTTTAACAGGTAGGTTATCGATAGTGTATGCACCTTCGACCCTTATTCGGTTAGTCTTATCTAAAGATTCAATTTCGAAATTAGTAAATTCAGCGTTCTGAGATGACGCTCCAATTACAGAGGATATGTTTAATCGAGTCACTGTACCTGAAATTCCCACCTGCTTTGCCGCATCACTAAGCAGTAGTGTCGTGTCTGAGCCGTTATCTAATAATGCATATGTATCCACGTGTCCTGTGGAGCCATGTAACCTGACTGATACAAATCCCAAATACGTTCCAGTAGAATAAGTAGAATTACAGCGTTCTTGTTTAAAATCAAGTTCTGTGTCGTGGATAATTCTATGATGACGTCGTTTGCATCCATCGATGTCACACGACATGGGTTGTCGGCAGTCTGTTGCTCGGTGATTGGGTTTTAAACAATTAAAGCAAAGCTTAAACTTCTTCAGTAATTCTAACCTTTCGTTGTGATTTACTGCTAGCAACTGTGGGCAAGATACGACTTCGTGGGTATCAGAGCAAATTACACAATGAACTGTTCCTTTACTCGACAATGTATGGATCTTAGCTCTAATAGAAGCAGATCGGTTGTTAGATGTCGTTTGAGCTTTGTGGCTGCCACTTGCTAACTGTTCGTAAGTGTTCGTGGCGATTGACACTCTGCTTTCTAAGAATTGCAACAAATCAAAATTGGGCTCTAGCCCCTTTCTTAAAATATCGTCTGCGGCTTCCGCCCATTTAAACTGTATACCTCGTAGTAGTCGTTTCACTATTCGTTTTACATTGGTCGAACAATTCAGATCGGCATTTCTGCCTATCTGTGACAAGGCTATCTTACAGTTGGTCATGAGTCTCGTTACTTTCTGTAGCCCCGTTACATCGTCTTGATTTAGTGGTGATCCATTTAGCAATTCATTTAATCATATTTATTGATGCTATCTTGAGTTTTGTGTAAATTATTATAGATGAAAATAAAGTATTATTAATATCCCAACGAGTAAAAAAATTTTCGAATTTTCGTATCTAGATGTTTGCCACTTCTTTAGAGAATAAATAAACCAATTAAATTAATCTAAGTTTAAATAGTACAAAGGAGTTAAGCGAGAATATTTGGTGCGATCAATCAAAAACAAGTCTAACCAAGTTGATATCATGTCGTTCCGGCCAAAGTGATTTATATGATTCATGTTTGTGTATTTTTGTGTGTGTTAAATGATGGAAAAATTTGAAATTATTGATGTAAAGGGATAGAGATGAATTTGTATTTACGATAAGAGTGTGGGATGTGAATAGAATCAGACACGGCAGTTCGAACTGATGGGCCAAGTCGGATGGATGGTGTGGCGTTCTTTTTTATTAAGGACAATAGGATTATGCAAAACATGGAAAGCTTCAGCTACTCTCCTTTCTTTGTAGCTGAAAAAGCTTTGTTGTATTATTTTGATATTTTTAACATCCACTTGATGGTTATTGAAAATGTCATTGACTGCTGTCTTCGATCTAATTTGAAGTCTTTTCAGTTTTATGGGACTACTAGTGCTTTCTTCGTGTGCCTAAGATATCCTTTGACTCGAATCAAGATTTCATGGACTTACTGTGCAACATAGTAGGAATCATGACGGACAACCCTTAATTTGTAGACAAAATTCTGTATTGACTTGACGGCGATTTTTTCTTTTAAGCGAACTATAGCATTTGGAAGAGTGTTCGTCGTTTATGACATAATTTAATTCTGTGTTGTTTCAGGACTACTAGAAGTCCTTTTGTTACACCATGACGGCATGGTGAGACTTCAATGTCAATCTCTGGTATTTTGTTCAGGTTATTATATAGCAGCAAAACGTGTGATTTCATAGTGCTTCTAACAATATTAATAAGAAATTTGTTATATCGTAAGATGTTAGTTATATGCTTTTGTTATTTTTGTTTTTCCTCTTCAGATGTAATGATCTTGTTTGCACTTCCAAAGAAATTCAGGGCTAGAGAGATTGCTGCACTGTATGGATGTGCTGAACTGGAGTTAGTATAACGATTTCAGTACGTTGGTTTTCGATAGACGGCTAGATTTAGAGCTTCAGTTAGATTTTTTTTCAAGTGGAGGGTCTAAAAACGGTAGCTCGAAATTTCCATTTACACTGTCGTACGTGGATTTAATATGAGATTAATGTGTTCGTCAGTTTATAAAAAGGTCTTAGGTGAGTCTTTTTTTACGACAACAAAATATCATCTGCATTCGTGGTTCAGTGTCATTGGCGAAAATATTTGATTCTATATGTGACACAAATAAGTTGGCTGTAATCAGGACACGAGGGATCCTTTTGTTACTCGATTTATCTGCATATATAATGTTCCGTTAAAAGTAAATCAGGATGAATTTAAAAACCGTTTTACGGACTCCAAGAGTAGACTGATGCTTGAAAGACATCTGTCCGGTAAAGCATTGCCATCCTCTAGTGAAGTCTAAGCAGACAAACAGCAATGCTCTTCAAATACAAAGTTTTCAAACCTTCATTCACATCTCTGATCATATAGTTTTGGTCCGTTTCATGTAACAACTTCCTGTTCGTCGTCAAGCAACATATGGTAACGTTATCTCAGTTACTGTACATGTACGAAGTATTGTTGACACTAATCATAATGTTATGCTAAGAATAAAAACTCTTCTCCTAGCATCATACACTTGTAACGTCTAACACTATAATGTTTGACGGTAAAACCATTGTAGCAGTTCTTACCTTATCACATAATTGGATATCCAGCTGGAAGAATAGACGATCCACTGGTATTAGACAGACACCCTAAATACCTAAAGCTTCAACATTTTTTTCTGAAAAAAATAAAATATCATTTAATCAAACATTATAGGCAGCGAGATATATTTGCAACTCAATTTTTGATGTTTGTTCTCTTTCGACACATTTGTTTTTCTGAAGTACAGCTAACTAATCTACCGAACTACTTAAGGGTCAATTGTGAATAAACTTTCTTTTCTCGCGTTTAGCTGGTCATATGTCTATCGTATGGTTTGATAGCATAAGTCGTCAGCGTAATCCATGCAAGAGGCCTAGTGAAAACAATAATTTTTGTAACAAAAAACGGAAGAATTACAGGCATACACCTATATCTAAGAAATCTCAGATAATTCAGTCATCTGGCCCTAACAGTGCTACTCATAGTCCTTACGTCGTAGCTCCATCTATCCAAAAATTACGTGAGAATATTCTGAATGCCTATGTAGTTAAAGAAACAGAGATGATAGCATTTTTTCATTTGCTGGGTATAATAATTTTCGTATTAATTTCCTTTAATCCAAAGAGGATACCACAATTAAAAAGTTTCTTGCATTCGACATGTGCTTCAAATATGCGGACAATGTAAGCCTATGGAAATTTCATCGGATATTTTAGTTTGCGATTGCGTATGTGTTCGCCTATTTTAAAAGATGTAATCTTTCAATTCAAGAATATAATCGAATGAACTTTTTTTGCTGTCTGTGAGTGTGACATCTTTTTTTACATTTCAATCAAGGTATCTTGTGCATGATATAGAAGAAGATGATGGGGATCACAAATATGAAATTCTTCCATGGGCTCTTGGTTCATTTTGGCAACAGAAAATGTCGAGCTTTTCTCGACAGAAAGAGGCTTTATGGGCTAGAATGGATTATCGAGCTGTGGTTAGCTATAGGTGCTGCAAAGAAGTATGTTTGGTTTTGTTTTCTACTATGATGAAGCTAATGAGTATTTTTCCATCACATCCTGTATGGGGCCGAAACAGACTTCCACATCATGGAGGAGCTATTCGAGCTTATCTAAAGCCCACTGACTCGAATATTCCGCAGGGTCCGAAGTCTCTTCCAAGGTACAAAACACCAACAAGCATGACAGATTTTATTATCATATTCGTTTTGTAGACTATGTGATGCCTGTAAACTGTTCTATGCAAGAGACACTGTTCCTAAATGTTTAATTGCAAGTGAAAACTTCCTTACCCCAGAAAATTCCCCAAACCTAAATGACTCAGCTTTCCATAGTCTATTTGAAGGTAAAAACTACAAATTTGCTAAAATGAGCAAAATTAAAGACGATTCGTTTAGCAGCTTTAGAAACGAGAATGGATCAAACGTGAATACTGGGTTTCAATCATATAATTCATGCTGTAATGAAAGTTGGCTTTCTCAAGAAACGTACTGTTATGAGAGAAGTAAGAGTGTATTTAAATTTTAAAACAAATTGGTTTTCATCTTAACAACACAGAATCTTAATTATTTATGGTAGTGAATGCATAGTATTTGTTAGAATACTATTTACATTTTAACAACGGTAAATATACTGATGGGTGACATTCAGTTGGGACTTGCAATAACTCCTGCTTGGTTCAAAAACTGTGAGTGATTAGCAACAGACCTACGGACTTTATATAGCCAGATGTGTCTAAGTCATGATTCTTATAAATGTCATGTTTAGCGTTATGATGGGTAAACGGTTTGATAAAATAAATGATATGATTAGGGTGGTCGGACAAATAGTTAGCTCACATTATCGACCGACTTACCTAACCAAGTCAGTTCTTGGAAGAAAAAACTAGTAGTTAACTGAATGAGCATCATATATATAAAATACCCAAAAAATTGTATGAATGAGCTAGTTGTCACATAAAGACCAATTATTAAAGAAAATACTCAGAATTTTAAAATAACTAGAAATTCTGTACCTGCGTTTGTCATAAAAATTATGATACTTTTTTCCCAGGATTTACAATGGCATAACAACTGTAGTTAGTTTTAAGTCTGTACCGGAACGTACAAATGGAACATTGTGAAATAACAGAAAAACCTGTAATAGTGTTTTTAAAACCAATGTATTTTAATTCCCAGGATTTCTTTTAATGATAAACAGCAAGATAACTAACATATATGAAATAACTCTCAGTTCGCTTCCTTAAACCAATGGAACACAAATTTACCTTCGACTAATATGTACACTAGATGCCCTCCTAGTGTTCATTCTACAGGACTTCAACACAACTCGAATCAAGAAAAGGTGATTGGCTCGACTAGAAAGTGAGTATATTTCCAAGTCGACAACTGACTTCAGTAATAATAAAGGTGGGATCATATTTAACACATCTAAGATTTGTCAGACTATCCATTAGTCTGACTGGGTAAACATCCAATCGTTATTTTTCTTACCCATACATCAATGTAACGTTTATTATTTATCAGTTTTCTGGTTAATTACACTTTGTGAACATCGTTTACCGTCGTACTAAAGCCTTCAAGTATTGCGCTTAAGTTTTATCTCCAAATGGTACATTACTGAATACTGGGGTCACAAATATGTTACTTATATACTGATTTGTATTTGATTCGTAGTAAATGTACTCTGAATATGTTAAGCAATTCATGGCTTTAAAAAGGTTGGTAAACAAGTAATTTTTGCGTAAAGGTCGTTGCTATCACTTAATTCACTCTTGGCTTGGTAAATCATTTTGTTCTCCAGATTGTACCCTAGTAAGCATCCTAAGTTTTAGGTTTCTTTAAATTAACGAAATTTACTTACTTACGCCTGTTACTCCCAATGGAACATAGGCCGCCGACTAGCATTCTCCAATCCACTCTATCCTGGATCTTCCTTTCTTGTTCTATCCAATTCTTGTTCATTATTCGCATGTCTATCTCCATTTCTCGGCGTAATGTGTTCTTTGGTCTTCCTCTTTTCCTTTGACCTTCAGGATTCCATGTGAGGGCTTGTATTGTGACGCAGTTAGGTGCTTTCCTCAATGTGTGTCCTATCCACTTCCAGCGCTTCTTCCTGATTTCTTCCTCCGCTGAGATCTGGTTTGTTCTCTCCCACAGTATGTTGTTGCTAATAGTGTCCGGCCAATGGATCTGAAGTATTTTGCGTAGACAATTGTTAATAAACACCTGTATTTTCTGGATGATGGCTTTTGTAGTTCTCCAGGTTTCTGCCCCATACAGTAGAACTGTCTTGACATTTGTATTGAAAATCCTGACCTTGGTGTTGGTTGACAGTTGCTTTGAGCTCCAGATGTTCTTCAGTTGTAAATATGCTGCTCTTGCTTTGCCGATCCGCGCCTTCACATCTGCATCAGGTCCACCCTGTTCATCAATGATGCTGCCTAAATACGTAAAGGTTTTTACATCTTCCAAATCTTCTCCGTCAATTGTGATTGGATTGGTGCATTCTGTGTTGTATCGGAGAATCCTGCTTTTCCCTTTGTGTATATTGAGACCTATTGCTGCTGAGGCTGCTGCCACACTGTTTGTCTTCTCCTGCATCTGTTGTTGCGTTTGGGATAGAAGGGCCAGATCGTCTGCGAAGTCTAGATCATCCAACTGCATCTTAGATGTCCATTGTATCCCGCGCTTCCCTTCAGACGTTGACGTCTTCATGATCCAGTCGATCACCAGGAGAAAGAGAAAGGGTGAGAGTAAGCAACCTTGCCTAACACCGGTCTTCACTTTGAACGACTTTGTCAACTGTCCTCCATGCACGATTTTGCAGTGTAGTCCATCATATGAGTTCTGTATGATATTGACTATCTTCTGAGGCACGCCGTAGTGTCGAAGAAGTTTCCATAGTGTTGTTCTGTCCACGCTATCAAATGCCTTTTCGTAGTCAATGAAGTTGATGTAGAGTGATGAATTCCATTCAATTGATTGTTCCACAATGATCCGTAGAGTTGCGATTTGGTCTGTACACGATCTATCCTTACGGAATCCTGCCTGTTGGTCACGAAGTTGGGCGTCTACGCAGTCCTTCATCCTGTTTAACAATACCCTGTTGAAGACTTTTCCCGGTATTGAGAGAAGAGTGATGCCCCTGTAGTTATTACACTTCCTGAGATCGCCTTTCTTCGGTATTTTGATCAGAAGTCCTTCTTTCCAGTCTGTTGGTACTTGTTCCTCATCCCAAATCTTATTGAAGAGAATGTGGAGTATCCTTGCAGCTGCCGCTACGTCTGCTTTTAGTGCCTCTGCTGGGATGTTGTCCGGTCCTGCTGCTTTTCCACTCTTGATTTGTCTGATGGCCATGCTGATTTCTTCAATTGTTGGTGGGCCAACATGGATTGGGAGGTCCGTGGGTGCTGCTTCGATGTTGGGTGGGTTCAGTGGGGCTGGTCGATTCAACAGTTCGTTGAAGTGTCCTACTCACCTGCTTCGTTGTTCTTCAGTGTTGGTGATTACCTCTCCTTCCTTGCTTTTCACTAGTCGTTCTGGTTTGCGGCGATTTCCAGAGAGTTTCTTTGTCGTGTCATACAATTGTCTCATGTTTCCTTCTCTTGCAGCTTTTTCCGCCATCGTTGCTAAATCTTCCACATACTTACGTTTGTCGGTTCTGATGCTCCTCTTCACTTGTTTGTTAACTTCTGTGTATTCAGCTTGTGCCTTGGCTTTTTCTGCTCTTGTTCGGCTGGTATTGATTGCTGCCTTCTTGTTCCTCCTTTCTTGAATCTTATCCAGTGTATCAACAGTGATCCATTCCTTGTGATGGTGCTTCTTGTGACCCAGGACCTCATGACATGTTGAAGTGATTGCCTCTTTGACCCCCTTCCAGTTGCTCGCCACAGTAGTTCCTTCTCTATTGAGTAGATCATGAAAGGCCTGGAACTTGTTGTTGAAGACTATCTTGAATTTGTTGAGTTTGTTAGTATCCTGAAGAAAGGCCGTATTGAAGTTTTGTGATATTGTCTGCCCCGTTGTCCAGTGCTTCTTGAGTTTCAATTTCATCTTGATGACCAGCAAGTGATGATCTGATGCTATATCAGCTCCTCTCTTGGTTCTCACGTCCTCTATAGTCCTCCTGAACGTTTTGTTGATGCAAATATGGTCGATTTGGTTTTGTGTAGAGTGATCCGGTGAAGTCCATGTGGTTTTGTGTATGCCTTTATGTGGGAATATGGTGCCGCCTATGACCAGCTTATTGAAGGCACATAGATTTGCAAATCTCTCACCATTTTCGTTTCTTTCTCCCAGTCCGTGTCGTCCCATGATGTCTTCATATCCAGTGTTGTCCGTTCCAACCTTGGCGTTGAAATCTCCCATCAGAATGGTCAGGTCCTTTGTTGGGCACTTCTCGACTATTGACTGCAGCCTATTGTAGAATTGATCTTTAGCGTCTTCATCGTAGTCGTTGGTAGGCGCATAGAATTGGATGATGTTCATTGAAATGCCCTCTTTCTTTGTTTTGAAGGAGGCTTTGATGATCCTTGGTCCATGAGATTCCCATCCTATAAGCGCGTTTTGCGCTTGTTTGGACAGCATCAATGCAACTCCTTGTGTGTGTGGTGCATTCTCTTCTTCATGGCCTGAGTATAACAGAAGCTCTCCTGTAGTTAGTCGTTGTTGTCCAACTTGTGTCCAATGTGTTTCACTGATCCCAAGTACCTCTAGGTTGTATCTTCTCATTTCTTCAGCTATTTGGAAGGCTCTTCCGGTGTCCCACATTGTACGAACGTTCCATGTACCTAAATAAATGGTCGCTCTGGTTGTCAGAAGGGGCATCGGCCTCGTAACTTCCGAAGGAATTCGGCTTTCATCATGAGGCATCATAATTCTTCTAAATGAAGACCTTCTGACTCCCAGGGCAGAGTTTAAAAGGTTTGAATAATTTTTTCTGGTTAGCGTTTTTTTAGCGAGTTAGTTTTCTACGGGATGGGGACGCCAACCCCATGCCCAACCCTCCTCCTTTATCCGGGCTTGGGACCGGCAGTAGCCCCCGGAGGGACTCCAGGCGGAGTTGGTGTTTACTAATGAGAGTAAAAAAATTCGTGAAAAATTTCTCATCAGGATGTTCAGGAAACAGATATTCATAAAGTAAAAATACGTCACCTCACAGAAAGCTCAGGGTTGTGTTATTACTGAGACTTACTACTACAAACAATTATTTAATTTTCATTTCAGATATTTTATTAAACATGTTGAAACATTTATATCATAAAGTGTTTTATTCTATAACGTGTTCTGGATTTGGAATGAATGTTACTCCTTATTGAGTGCATACTAATAACTTTTAAAATCCTTTTTAGCCATTTCTGGTATTGAAAACGAATATTGTCTTATAGATGAAGAATAAAAGAAAGAAAACTGATGAAACACATAATTCGCAGTTTTAAAAACTTATAGTCACGCTGTAAATAATTTTTATACGTCATATACTGTAACATGTTAAGTAAATAATTCGCAAATTTTAGAATTAAAAGTTTTACACAAGCAATTTCTTTTTCTACAAAATCAAACAAAAAATAACACAAAACGTCCATCTTTAGAATACAGAAAACTGCTCTGAACAGAATAGCGAAGGTTATCTTTTGTTGAGATCAAACTATGCTTAAAACATCGAGACACCTCTCGGTTAATAGAAGTCTGCTTTGTAAACACAAGCCAGTTTGTTTTCGCGTTTCGTTGGATTGAAACAGACTGAGTTTGCTCTCTCCTCAGATCCAATATACAATTTGGTTATCTCTATCATCTTTAAATCAAGAGCAAATTATTAATTATGACGTTGTAGCAAACAATTAAGCGCATTTAATCTAAATTGCTCTGAAAAGTGAACTATCAGAGCAACATTCAGGAATGAATCCCCGGTGAATGATCAAGTTAAGAACATTTATTTCACGTGCCTATGGTTCAAGTGACTTTTTTCACTTTAAGTATAGTTTATGCCTAAAACCAGATAATTATGATCTGTATAGTGCAAACATAGGTATCAAAATCCTTAACTTAAGCTTGGGGATGTAGCAGTAGTTTTTGACTTGGACGGTATTTTTGGTTATTCGATTAGAAATGGCGGAAGTTCGCATTACGAATATCACGCCACTCTAAAACGCTCATGATAGCAAATAATTTTGTCACGATGGTTAGTCTTGTCAGAAACTCAATTTTGAAAAATTGTGAGACAAAAGTACTATCTCAGATATTTATAATATAACTGAGTAGCTAAACATTAGTGCATTAAAATAAGTTATATTCATTGCTTCTCAAAACATTAGTCTCGATCAAGACTATTTCCGACTGTGGAATAAGTCTTTTTCACTATAAGTTTACTAATAAGTATATGTAGCAAACGTTATGTTTCCTGACGTGTATTATGATGCTTTTTAAAATGGTGCTACCGAATTTTTAAAAAGTCACTTTACTTGTTCATTAGAACGGGAACCACATTAGACGAAAACTGCTGAACAGGTACAAACGCTTAGGAGTTTTAAAGCTAGTAAAACTATAATCTATTCAAAAGCGTATATCGGAAAGTTTAATAAATGTTGTGTGTAGACCCTGTTTGGTATGAACATAATGGCTGGTTACTTAACTTCAAGTGATATTATGGTACAATAATACATGATATAACCATCATTTGCCTACGAATGCAATCTGATGGTTCTCAAAGATTAAGATGCACAGCATCGTAAAGTTTTCGTTAAATTTAGAGAAAGGCTTAGTTAACCATGAATAATATTCAAAAATGCCTTCCACATCTTGTACATTGGCGGATAAATGAATCGAGGCTAGAGAAAAAGGCTATTTTATAGGAACTCAGGAATTAGTCTCATTGCTGGTGACATTCTCTACTTTCGAATTTGTAATGTAAAAACTGTACGATGAATAAACGTTTACGAAATATTTGGATGTTTAAACTCTTAGTTTTGTAAAACCATTTTAAATAGTAGCCAACACAGGATTGTAACACGATCTGACAAAAATGAGTTACCTCAATAATTTTGCTTCGCATTAATCTACATAGAAATCTTTTCTGTAACACAAAGAAAATATAGTAATATCCTATATTTGACTACATATAATCAATAATTAATAACTTGTGGTCTAAATCAATATGATTTAAGGACTTTTCATATCGACAAATAAACAAGTTAGGGATAATCTGAGAATAAATTCTTTTACAATTTGTTCAATGAATAAAAGTGTATCGTGTATAAATAGTGAACTTTAACTTCTATCACTCGATTAAAATTTTATTCTTTTAGTTAATCCAAAAGTTATTTTTGATTGATATGAATTTCATTATTTAAAATTTAACATTAGATAATATTTTGTGATTACAATTGATAAAGATCGAAAAGAATGGGAAACAAATACTTTTGAAAAGTCCATTCATTGGATAATCTTAAAAGAAAAATCCCTAAAAAATTAAATTCGTACATTTTGGTTATAATCACTTAAAACAAAATATAACACCCAACTAGTTTGTAAAGATTAAATTAAAAAGAACAGTTACAATAAACATTCATCAGCGGAAACTTGTATCTGATTCATTTAGTAAATGAGATAATCAATATAAGAGATATTATGGAAACAACGATTTTTTATGAAGCTTTAAGATTCTCTATTTTATTCAATTATAATACTATTGATAATAATAATCATAACAATAATAATAATAGTAATAATCAGATTCATAATAAAACACAAATATACTTGCAATAAAATACATGGATATATCACTTGCATGGAGGGAAAGAGTTTAGAAACGACATCAAAGTAAGCAAAAAAGTAATATTAGTAAACGGAAAATATAATTTTTTTGTTTCAAGAAAAAGAGTTAAATCGAAATAAGCATCTAGAATAAGTTGATAAAAACAATAGAGGCAAGTATTTATCAAGCAACATACATATATATTTTTATATATCATCCTGAATGAATGCACAATAAATTGAAATAATCATTTTGATTTCATAAAAAATTGCATAAATGTCTAATATTTTCATTTTATTCTTCTTACACTTTATATCTTCCTTTGAACTAAACAAAATATGATTGGAACCGAGATTTAGTACAAACACGACATCGACTTATTTCACGTAGTACTTTAGTTTCATCTGGTAAATGATCTGTAATATATTGACCGACTGGTTTTTGAAATTCTGTATTATTACTAACATGACGTAGATAATAAGCTTTTGCATCTGACCAATAATTGCACAAACTCATACCATTATTACATTCTAATAATGGAGAATAACTGAAATATTCAAGACAGCTGCCAGGCGATGAAAGTTGTTGACCACCACCAGTACTTCCAACACTATGCTATTAAAAAAAGAATATTTAAAATGATATATTTATTATGTATTCATAAAATCATTTTTTTAATCCTCAGTTCCAATACCATGGTTTTGAGGGATAAATCATTTAAGAGTTGTTTGTTTTACATACTGGACATAATGCATCTTAGTTAGACTTTGTTTCCTATGTGTCCATGAACAAAACCTTTTTCATTCATTATACTGTGTGATGACAGATTGGTTTTTTAGCTTTGTTCTCTATAAGTTATACGTTTAACTACCGAATTATTAAGTGTTTTTAGCTTTCTTACTGGAAGGACTTTGAAGACCGTTGGTATCAATAGATAATTAATGACTAATAACTAACAGCTATAAGACCAAGTCATATATTCTTCTTAAGTAAAGTGGTAATTCATTCATAAACATCACTGGTTGTTTTTCAAAAAAATACTTTATTTATGAATATTACTAATGAATATAAAGACCGACTAAACGACAATGATCTCGTGTAATAAAAATTATGAGACAGAGAAAAAAACGAAATATAAACTAATGTCTGGAGGAAAATGTCTATACCAATTATTTTAAATATATGGCGATAGTTGGTATTAAAACTTTACAAACATTTGAACAAAGTGAAAAGGATGAGTAATTTATGGAGTATTACAACTGTCTTTTTGGATGAAAATATAATGAAGGTAGATTTAAAAATTCAAATTACCGTAGAAACTTGATACATACTGAATTCTGTCAGACCATTACTCTTAATTGTAGAGAAACACCAATATGACTTGTTACAAAATAGTAATAAAAATACAGATGAACAAAATGCTTTTCTATGATATCTCTTCATATAAAAAAATGATCAGGTGGCACTGTGATCACATTTGTATTTTCTACTTCGCCCAAGGTTTTAAAAAATTATTTACTTACATGTGGGTGGCTTAGAAGTGTGTTCGATATTATTTACCTACCATAGATTTAATAAGCTATACTTTACAGTGTTAAAATTGTTCAACTGAAAAAGTATATAGATTTATAATCTCACCATTACAAAGCTATATCCATCCCAAAGTCTTGCCCAGCCTTCTGGACAGTTAACTTCTTGAAGCTGATTTGCTTGTGCATGAAAAGCATAAGGTTGTGTTGGTGCTTCACAGACAACACAACGAGCAACTCTTCGAGTAACTTCGCTTACATCTAGTGGCATCATTGGAAGAGGTTCTGTGGTAGCTAACCAGTAAGAGCGATCAGCTCGAACACCAAGTTGACAAGATCCATCGCGAAGGCATTGGAAAAATGGCATTATACTGAACATACTTAAACATGAACTATGAGAACCTGGAAAAAGATAAACATTCGCAATTATTCGTATTAGCTGGTAAGTAAATAAAAATAGGAAAAAATTCTACTTCTCAATATACTAAGAATACGAAAGTTATTTTTTTGTTCTGAATATATAAAAAGTTATCAGAATCTAATACATGAGTTGTAACTAATTATCAAAACAAACAGGTACGATAGCAATAAAAACCTCGGCGAACCATTTTAGACAAATGTGCCATACCGTATATTTCGTTTTCGTGGAATTTTGTCTACAGATTTTAATTAAATTGTCTAGTTGTTTATTAACAGTGTAAAAATAACATGTAGTAATGAACAGTGGGCAAGTTGGCTTAAATAGATTTGTATTAAGTTGTAAGTTGAGCTGTCACGTATAAATTTAAAAATGACTTTACCATAGATTTTATCTTATACCTACACAAAACCCTTTTTTCCTTACTCTCTGAACAAAACAGTCATAAATGATCATTGTCGGTTATTTCAATCACCGACATCTAGCAGTGAATGACAATGATATCCTATTTAGTCGATTACTGACCTTAAGTTGTAATACATTCTAGCTTTTTGGTAAAACACATATGTTGCTTTTTAAGCTATTTCAATCAGCCGAATATACATTGATCTATTCTAGTAGCGAGGATCTTTCCCCAGAAGTATTTGTTGAACATTGTTGCAAAAACAAAAACATCTCAGAACATAAAGAAATGTTTTGGGATATAAAACTATTTTCATTTCACCATCTAAAATTTATACAAAAGAACAAAACAGTTTGTAGATTCAAAGGCTAATAAATAGTTAATACATACCTAAATCCATGGTTACTAATTCACCATTGCCATTAGCCATTACA